AAATACTAATATATATAATCCAATAATAATTAATATAAATCTTATTCAATAAGATTGTTCGTTAAAAGTCATATCATAGCAGTATTCTTTTTCAATTATCACTATTGGTTCAAAATAATCTTTGCAATCATAATATATTTTGAGTTGTTTTTCATTTATGAGTTATTTGATAAGTTGATCTTGTTAATTTCTAAGTTGATATGTTCCATTTTTGAGACTATCATAATTTTCTTTTAGATTTTTTTCTCCTAGAAATTCTTTTTGTTGAATTTTTTCATCTTTCAATTCTTGTTAAGTTTCTTAAGTTTGAATAACTACTAGTACTTTTTTTTTTGTTTAGTATTAAAAATGATGTTGATTGTTAACTGACTAATTTGGTTATTTAATTAAAGTATTTTGATAAAATATTTATTTTGTTGAATTCTTCCAAGTTAAAGTTTTTGACAATATTAACGAATTCTCTATGTTTTTCTTCAGTAGATGATTTTTTTATGCTGGAGATTTCTACTATTATTTTTTTTTGTTGTTCTATCTTTCTCAATATTCTTTTCTTTGCTGACAGAATTGGTGGATGTCTTGTTGAATTTGATATAAAAAAGTTGAACTTCTGATTCAGATAATTCAGTTTCTTATTCTAATAATTTTACCAAAATTTCTCTTGCTATAATTGATATATTTTTATGAATTGTTTTTTTATGAAATATCTTGAAGTTATTAAAAATAACTGAGATTTTTATTAGAATATTGTTCTGATATTAATATTCCAATAACTATTTCTTGGAATAATTTTCTAATTTCAGTATCAGTTAATTTTATGTAATTCAGATTGAAAAAGATTTGTTTGTCACTAATTTATTTGTTTCTTTACAGAGAATTCTTAATCCAATTCTGATTTTCTTTGGTATAGTACTTTGTTTATTTATAGAAAATTCTTTGTTCTAATAGAGTTTTAATGGTATAAAATTAACTTTTTCATAGAGAGAACACCAAAATTTGTTACTATTTTTATGAGCTTTAAGTTCTTGACATGTTATTTATGTATTTCTATTAATTAAAGATGAAAGAGACTAAGTTTTATAGTAAAAGAAACTAAAAATTATTATTAAAGGTAGATAATATGTGTTCTTATTGTAACAAACTAGAATAATATTTAATAATTTCATTTAAATATTACTAATTTTAAAGGTAATAATTCAAGATAATAAGTCTTTCAAGTGACTGTCTTTCAAGTTAAATATAACAATTAATTATTTAATAGTGATTTATCTTTCAAGACCAAAATCAATATTAAATATAACTTTATTAAGTTATCTAACAAAAGAATAATTGAAGTAATAAGACTTTAATTGAAATAATAAGACTTATTTTCTAAAGCTAAGATATAAGTTATATTTATAATAAATTATTGAATCTAATTTAGCTATTATATAGTTAATCTTTAGCATTTTCATCACTGTCATTACTTGAATTGTTATCATTGCTTGAATTGCTATTATCACTTGAATTACTTGGATTATAATCATTGCTTGGATTATTTTTGTTGCTAAAATAACTAAGTGAATTAATTATTAATAGTTTAAATCTTGTCTAATAATATTATTCTAATTATTATCCAATAATCTTAATTAAATTATTGTCCAATTAACTTGAGATATAAATTTACCAATAAAATATAACTAAATATTCATATTATAATAATATTTTATTCAAGAATTGTATACTACTTATAGCAAATATGCTAAAATAATTATATAAAAAATAAAAATACTTTGTCAAAAGATATAGAAAGAAATTTACGCTTGACTACTTACTTTACATAAAGTGCAAACTTTATACATATAAATGATTAAAAGCTTATGATAACTAGTTATTATTATAATATGAATTTTGACATATCATATGACTTTTTATAGTTTATTTTGATTGGATAATTAATTTACAAATTATATTCATATTTGTTTTATATTATCTGTATTTTATTTATACTATTTTTATTATATTTTATTTTATTTTTATCTTATTTTATACTATTTCATTCTATTTTTATATTATTTTATTTTATTTTATTTTTATATTATCTCATTCTATATTAATTATAATTTATATTAATCATATTTAATTCATATTTTTATTATTAGTATAAAAAATCTGTGTTAATTGATCTACATAACCAAATTTGATTAATATTAATAATGAAATTTATATAATATTAGAGTGAGTGATGTATAATTATCAAGTGAACGCTTTTTGTAATCATAATATTTGAAGGTTAAGTAACAATAACTTATATAAATATAACATGTATTTTAGCTTAGAAAAATAATTTTTTTATATTTTTGAATCTTCTAAATTCTTAATCTTTTTGGATATTAATTTTTTTAGATTATAATCTTCTTATTCACTTAAATTTTCTTTTGACAAAATCTTTTTAGAAGTGAGTTGTATTATAAATCTTGAATTAGAAATTTTCAGTGAAGCATTAATTACCTCTTTTCTTTCTTATTCATATTCTTTTATATTTAAAAGATCTCTTGTTTGTAATAAACAATATTATTTATAATAATATAATTAATCTCTCATCACTATTCTGTGAAATTAATTAATATTATTTAGATTTATAATAAAAGAAGAAGATAATTTTATTAAAAAGTTAATCAATAAAAGAAAATTACTTAACAATTAAATCATTTGAATTAAAAGAAGATTTCTGAACTCATTCTAGCAATTTAACAAAATGAATATATCATTATCTACCTTTATTAAATTAGTCTCTCCCAACCTTAATTACTTTTAAACACATAAAAGTCTTTAATAACTCTTTCACTTAATTAAGATACGTGAAGAACATGTGATTTATACTTGAAAGTTAATAAACTAATGAAAATGATAACAATATTATAATTTGAATTTATTATTCAATTATAATACAGTTAAATCCCTTTATAATCATATCTATTTATAGTCACATATCTCTATAATCACTCTATTTTGCTTTCCCATTTATATATCAGTACTATATTGCTATAGGATTATTCATACACTAAGTAAATACAAAGAAAAATATTTATTAGTAGTAATGATCCTATTCTATATTAGATAAAATAGAAAAAAGTCATATTGTACATTGATCCTAATATAACTGGATCATAATTGAAGTTAGTAAAATTATGAAAAATTATAATAGATATTGGTTAAATTATCATGTTACAAGATTACCTATCAGAGTTCAGAACTAGTGACATCTGAAAAGAAAATTAATGTGTCATATATATATTGCTATTATTCGCAGTTTGAAGCTTTTCATAAATTCAAATATCTGATAAAATTATTATTATACTGAATCATGCTGGTATCAGTACATGTAGTGACTAGTTCACGAATGAAGTTTTGAACTAGATAAAATACTAACAAAAAACAGAAAATTATCTTCTCAAGTTTATCTATTTCTTGCATCATAATATAGTAATATCTAAGTAACTGTTTTTTCAGTTTGCTAAGTATATGTTGTTATGAGTCCTGAGCTTAAATAGATAATCTCATGACATGAATATTCAATCAACATCTCTGGTAATTTCTCAATTATACTAATTTTAATCCAGTTGTGTTAGGATCAGTGCATGATGCAACTTCTTCTATTCTATTAAGATAAAATAGGATATTACTACTACTAATAAATATCTTTCTTTGTATTTACTTAGTGTATGAATGGTCCTATAGCAATACAGTACTAATATTCTATGTATTCTGGAAACAAGTAATTGCATGTAATTTATTCTTGAACTTTCCTGCAATATATTCAAAGCTTTACGTATAACAAAAAAGATCTTCCTGTTGATCTTTGTATATGGGTAGCGTCAAAGTTTTTTTTATTATAATTTTAAGCGGATCCGTTTATCAGATTTTTGTGATGCGATTATGCGATCATATTATTTTAATTTCGCTCCTAGGAATTATATAAAAAGGTGATGTTCCGGTTAGTGAACCCTTTTATCTGCCTTGCACAAGAAAAGCAAAAATCGAACGAGACTAATCAAACCAATCTAACTTACCATTATTTGCATCATCGATATTTACAAACAAACTCGTATATTCCGCAAAGTAATAATAAGGTAGGGTTGGATTATTGCAAAAGTCTTGCGCAGAATATAAGCAACGTGCCGAATTCTTGAAACTTTATGCAGTATCGTACCGGCGACAACGCAGAAAAAAATTAAGCAATAAATTTCTTGTATATGAGGCGGAATGGAATTATGTGAAAATGAATCGTGATGGTAAGTGTAAATAGGAAATATTACATTACTTAGAAAAGGTCATTACTAATCTCCGGAATACTTCCTATAGGATCGAAATTACTTAATCTCGGGGAAGTTCTTAAAATTGAAACTTTTTATAAAATCTGTGGGGCATCGCGTATATTAGAATAATAAAAACTGTTAAAAATGTTTTTATAGCAGTCAATAGAGACTATAAAAATTAGCTTTTATTTTTATAACTTCAGATTATCTAATTCATTATACAACTTTGCATATATTTTTACAGTAACAATAAACACTCCGAGAAAAAGAGAAAGTGAACGATAAACTTAGGAAAAAAAGTTACGTTAATCATTGTTTAAAAAACGAATCATCTTCCGCAAAATCGCTCCTGCGCACGGCCACATTATAAAGAATCCAAGCGGTACCGATTGCCTCCTGTTGAGGTTGAGCATTGGGGTCGAAAAATGCATTGCGGTATTGTTGTTGTCCGCGAATGTTTCCGCGCACGGCGTAAAGGTCAGTCAAATGTGGGAAGTGGAAAATACAGTTCGAATCTTCATCTCTGCGTCTATTTTGGAGATTCTCTGTTGCAAATGCATTCATCACCGTTTGATAAGCCGCGTACGTATGTTGATTAATCCAATTTTGGTTTGCTGAGATAATAAGAACAGGATCGAAGTTGTCCGCTTTACTAATTTGTTCCTCGCACTTTCTAATGTCTTTTTCGGAAGCTTGTGGGAGAATAGTCTCAAGAGCTTCTCGGGTAGATACGAACATTCTATAAATAATGTGAAAAAGGGTTAACTACAATGACTTGGATAAAATTACGCATTATACTTGGTTACTTACTCGTTTATGTTATTATCACTCGAAGTTCCAAAAGTATCATTCATGGGTATTTGTTTAAAATTGTTGTCGTTTTCTGGTGGGTAAGATCAGTATATAACACGTGAAAGCTAATTTTTGATATACCTCTCAAAAACAACTGAATAGCACCAAATAGATTAGCGATAATAAAAGCAACGAAGACGAATGGCAGAGCCTAAAGAATGTGAATTAGTGCAAATGGAGACAATTTAGAGAAGTGATAGAGGTTAAAAAAAGTTGGAAAAGTGAGGAGACAGACCAGCCAGCCGAATAAAGAACACATTGGAAGGATCGTGACATAAGTGAACCAGGTAAACCATTCAATAGACGATAAAAGTGATGTGAATGAAACAATTTTTCGGATAACTTCTTGTAAAAACATAGTTTTGGAAATTTAAGTTAGAGTAAGAATATGGAGAGAAATCTTCATAACAAATATTACAAATCAAAAGAGTCATCTAGGGGCAGTGTTGTACATTTTGGATGTCCAAGCACTTTTTCGACTGTCCAAATGTCCAAACTCTTGTACTATTAAAAAATTAAATAAAAAATATATGATTATATACAACGAGAAAGTGACAACACTGTCTAGGGGTATTTAACTCCTACTTAATAATGTATCATTGTATAAAAATTATGATTTTTTTTATGGTGATTTTTAACGTGATTGGTTGATTTTACTAATCAACGATTTATTATCAGCCGTGTGGCTTGGGTTTATTGGTACTAAAGATGTACAAGAAATATTATACGTTTCTTTAGCGTTCTAAAGTCTTCGACTATAAGAAGTATGATGGGATCATGTAAAACTTGTATTCGACTAGTAGAATCAACACACAAGACCTTATTAGCATCACGGAGCATCGGAGTAGGCAAATAATATAAATTCTTAACAGGGACTTTACTAAAGTTATGATGCTTTATTTCTGATTCTGCATGTTCTATGCATAACTGACGACCATTTTATTCTATCCAGAACATCAATGTTGGGACAAACGAAATCGGATTAGAGTTAATGTTGGGATATTGTGTTAGTACAGATAGTTTAGATGAACGAAACACTGGTCAGTGTGGGCATTAGTATAGGACCGCCATTTCACTTTGTAAACAAGTCTATGTATCTAATTTAGTTCTGCAATGAGCTCAGCCTTTTCTTTATCGCTCTGCTCTAGTTTTACGAATCTTGCCTCATTCTCTTCCATAGCCTGCCTTGATTTAGCATTTTCGGCTTTAACCTCGGCATTCTCGGCCTTAATATCAGCATTTTCAGCCAGAAGCTCGACGACACGTTGTTTCAATGAATCAAGTTCAGATTGCATATTCGATAACACCTTTCATATAGAACGCGATTTATTTAAAATGCATTTTACCCAAGTGGGACTTTAGGTCTCACTTTTTTTATTCATCATACGTCTCCATATCCCATGAAAAATATATTTGATACAATGTATAGCATTTTCGGCTCGAATTCTTTATTGATACAGAAACTAAATTAGATACATAGACTTGTTTACAAAGTGAAATGGCGGTCCTATACTAATGCCCACACTGACCAGTGTTTCGTTCATCTAAACTATCTGTACTAACACAATATCCCAACATTAACTCTAATCCGATTTCGTTTGTCCCAACATTGATGTTCTGGATAGAATAAAATGGTCGTCAGTTATGCATAGAACATGCAGAATCAGAAATAAAGCATCATAACTTTAGTAAAGTCCCTGTTAAGAATTTATATTATTTGCCTACTCCGATGCTCCGTGATGCTAATAAGGTCTTGTGTGTTGATTCTACTAGTCGAATACAAGTTTTACATGATCCCATCATACTTCTTATAGTCGAAGACTTTAGAACGCTAAAGAAACGTATAATATTTCTTGTACATCTTTAGTACCAATAAACCCAAGCCACACGGCTGATAATAAATCGTTGATTAGTAAAATCAACCAATCACGTTAAAAATCACCATAAAAAAAATCATAATTTTTATACAATGATACATTATTAAGTAGGAGTTAAATACCCCTAGACAGTGTTGTCACTTTCTCGTTGTATATAATCATATATTTTTTATTTAATTTTTTAATAGTACAAGAGTTTGGACATTTGGACAGTCGAAAAAGTGCTTGGACATCCAAAATGTACAACACTGCCCCTAGATGACTCTTTTGATTTGTAATATTTGTTATGAAGATTTCTCTCCATATTCTTACTCTAACTTAAATTTCCAAAACTATGTTTTTACAAGAAGTTATCCGAAAAATTGTTTCATTCACATCACTTTTATCGTCTATTGAATGGTTTACCTGGTTCACTTATGTCACGATCCTTCCAATGTGTTCTTTATTCGGCTGGCTGGTCTGTCTCCTCACTTTTCCAACTTTTTTTAACCTCTATCACTTCTCTAAATTGTCTCCATTTGCACTAATTCACATTCTTTAGGCTCTGCCATTCGTCTTCGTTGCTTTTATTATCGCTAATCTATTTGGTGCTATTCAGTTGTTTTTGAGAGGTATATCAAAAATTAGCTTTCACGTGTTATATACTGATCTTACCCACCAGAAAACGACAACAATTTTAAACAAATACCCATGAATGATACTTTTGGAACTTCGAGTGATAATAACATAAACGAGTAAGTAACCAAGTATAATGCGTAATTTTATCCAAGTCATTGTAGTTAACCCTTTTTCACATTATTTATAGAATGTTCGTATCTACCCGAGAAGCTCTTGAGACTATTCTCCCACAAGCTTCCGAAAAAGACATTAGAAAGTGCGAGGAACAAATTAGTAAAGCGGACAACTTCGATCCTGTTCTTATTATCTCAGCAAACCAAAATTGGATTAATCAACATACGTACGCGGCTTATCAAACGGTGATGAATGCATTTGCAACAGAGAATCTCCAAAATAGACGCAGAGATGAAGATTCGAACTGTATTTTCCACTTCCCACATTTGACTGACCTTTACGCCGTGCGCGGAAACATTCGCGGACAACAACAATACCGCAATGCATTTTTCGACCCCAATGCTCAACCTCAACAGGAGGCAATCGGTACCGCTTGGATTCTTTATAATGTGGCCGTGCGCAGGAGCGATTTTGCGGAAGATGATTCGTTTTTTAAACAATGATTAACGTAACTTTTTTTCCTAAGTTTATCGTTCACTTTCTCTTTTTCTCGGAGTGTTTATTGTTACTGTAAAAATATATGCAAAGTTGTATAATGAATTAGATAATCTGAAGTTATAAAAATAAAAGCTAATTTTTATAGTCTCTATTGACTGCTATAAAAACATTTTTAACAGTTTTTATTATTCTAATATACGCGATGCCCCACAGATTTTATAAAAAGTTTCAATTTTAAGAACTTCCCCGAGATTAAGTAATTTCGATCCTATAGGAAGTATTCCGGAGATTAGTAATGACCTTTTCTAAGTAATGTAATATTTCCTATTTACACTTACCATCACGATTCATTTTCACATAATTCCATTCCGCCTCATATACAAGAAATTTATTGCTTAATTTTTTTCTGCGTTGTCGCCGGTACGATACTGCATAAAGTTTCAAGAATTCGGCACGTTGCTTATATTCTGCGCAAGACTTTTGCAATAATCCAACCCTACCTTATTATTACTTTGCGGAATATACGAGTTTGTTTGTAAATATCGATGATGCAAATAATGGTAAGTTAGATTGGTTTGATTAGTCTCGTTCGATTTTTGCTTTTCTTGTGCAAGGCAGATAAAAGGGTTCACTAACCGGAACATCACCTTTTTATATAATTCCTAGGAGCGAAATTAAAATAATATGATCGCATAATCGCATCACAAAAATCTGATAAACGGATCCGCTTAAAATTATAATAAAAAAAACTTTGACGCTACCCATATACAAAGATCAACAGGAAGATCTTTTTTGTTATACGTAAAGCTTTGAATATATTGCAGGAAAGTTCAAGAATAAATTACATGCAATTACTTGTTTCCAGAATACATAGAATATTAGTACTGTATTGCTATAGGACCATTCATACACTAAGTAAATACAAAGAAAGATATTTATTAGTAGTAGTAATATCCTATTTTATCTTAATAGAATAGAAGAAGTTGCATCATGCACTGATCCTAACACAACTGGATTAAAATTAGTATAATTGAGAAATTACCAGAGATGTTGATTGAATATTCATGTCATGAGATTATCTATTTAAGCTCAGGACTCATAACAACATATACTTAGCAAACTGAAAAAACAGTTACTTAGATATTACTATATTATGATGCAAGAAATAGATAAACTTGAGAAGATAATTTTCTGTTTTTTGTTAGTATTTTATCTAGTTCAAAACTTCATTCGTGAACTAGTCACTACATGTACTGATACCAGCATGATTCAGTATAATAATAATTTTATCAGATATTTGAATTTATGAAAAGCTTCAAACTGCGAATAATAGCAATATATATATGACACATTAATTTTCTTTTCAGATGTCACTAGTTCTGAACTCTGATAGGTAATCTTGTAACATGATAATTTAACCAATATCTATTATAATTTTTCATAATTTTACTAACTTCAATTATGATCCAGTTATATTAGGATCAATGTACAATATGACTTTTTTCTATTTTATCTAATATAGAATAGGATCATTACTACTAATAAATATTTTTCTTTGTATTTACTTAGTGTATGAATAATCCTATAGCAATATAGTACTGATATATAAATGGGAAAGCAAAATAGAGTGATTATAGAGATATGTGACTATAAATAGATATGATTATAAAGGGATTTAACTGTATTATAATTGAATAATAAATTCAAATTATAATATTGTTATCATTTTCATTAGTTTATTAACTTTCAAGTATAAATCACATGTTCTTCACGTATCTTAATTAAGTGAAAGAGTTATTAAAGACTTTTATGTGTTTAAAAGTAATTAAGGTTGGGAGAGACTAATTTAATAAAGGTAGATAATGATATATTCATTTTGTTAAATTGCTAGAATGAGTTCAGAAATCTTCTTTTAATTCAAATGATTTAATTGTTAAGTAATTTTCTTTTATTGATTAACTTTTTAATAAAATTATCTTCTTCTTTTATTATAAATCTAAATAATATTAATTAATTTCACAGAATAGTGATGAGAGATTAATTATATTATTATAAATAATATTGTTTATTACAAACAAGAGATCTTTTAAATATAAAAGAATATGAATAAGAAAGAAAAGAGGTAATTAATGCTTCACTGAAAATTTCTAATTCAAGATTTATAATACAACTCACTTCTAAAAAGATTTTGTCAAAAGAAAATTTAAGTGAATAAGAAGATTATAATCTAAAAAAATTAATATCCAAAAAGATTAAGAATTTAGAAGATTCAAAAATATAAAAAAATTATTTTTCTAAGCTAAAATACATGTTATATTTATATAAGTTATTGTTACTTAACCTTCAAATATTATGATTACAAAAAGCGTTCACTTGATAATTATACATCACTCACTCTAATATTATATAAATTTCATTATTAATATTAATCAAATTTGGTTATGTAGATCAATTAACACAGATTTTTTATACTAATAATAAAAATATGAATTAAATATGATTAATATAAATTATAATTAATATAGAATGAGATAATATAAAAATAAAATAAAATAAAATAATATAAAAATAGAATGAAATAGTATAAAATAAGATAAAAATAAAATAAAATATAATAAAAATAGTATAAATAAAATACAGATAATATAAAACAAATATGAATATAATTTGTAAATTAATTATCCAATCAAAATAAACTATAAAAAGTCATATGATATGTCAAAATTCATATTATAATAATAACTAGTTATCATAAGCTTTTAATCATTTATATGTATAAAGTTTGCACTTTATGTAAAGTAAGTAGTCAAGCGTAAATTTCTTTCTATATCTTTTGACAAAGTATTTTTATTTTTTATATAATTATTTTAGCATATTTGCTATAAGTAGTATACAATTCTTGAATAAAATATTATTATAATATGAATATTTAGTTATATTTTATTGGTAAATTTATATCTCAAGTTAATTGGACAATAATTTAATTAAGATTATTGGATAATAATTAGAATAATATTATTAGACAAGATTTAAACTATTAATAATTAATTCACTTAGTTATTTTAGCAACAAAAATAATCCAAGCAATGATTATAATCCAAGTAATTCAAGTGATAATAGCAATTCAAGCAATGATAACAATTCAAGTAATGACAGTGATGAAAATGCTAAAGATTAACTATATAATAGCTAAATTAGATTCAATAATTTATTATAAATATAACTTATATCTTAGCTTTAGAAAATAAGTCTTATTATTTCAATTAAAGTCTTATTACTTCAATTATTCTTTTGTTAGATAACTTAATAAAGTTATATTTAATATTGATTTTGGTCTTGAAAGATAAATCACTATTAAATAATTAATTGTTATATTTAACTTGAAAGACAGTCACTTGAAAGACTTATTATCTTGAATTATTACCTTTAAAATTAGTAATATTTAAATGAAATTATTAAATATTATTCTAGTTTGTTACAATAAGAACACATATTATCTACCTTTAATAATAATTTTTAGTTTCTTTTACTATAAAACTTAGTCTCTTTCATCTTTAATTAATAGAAATACATAAATAACATGTCAAGAACTTAAAGCTCATAAAAATAGTAACAAATTTTGGTGTTCTCTCTATGAAAAAGTTAATTTTATACCATTAAAACTCTATTAGAACAAAGAATTTTCTATAAATAAAC